ACAATAGCACTCTCCGCTCGGCAGCCCCGATGCATGCATCCGACTTTCGCGCTCACTGATTTCGCGAAAGGCGCAAAGAAGGGCGAAACAAGCGGAGGAAAGAAACACTTAAGAAAGAAATTATTCGCTTCCTGCACCTCACCGACTATCTTTCGTTTCCTCAGCATTGTGGTTTTTGTTCAACTCTCACTTTTCTGAAGGCGTTTCTTCTTATCTGCATGCATAGTCTCACATAATGTGAACCATCGCTATTTCTAGTTTCGGTTCACTGGTTTCCTAATATGCTGCGAATAAATGTATTTCGTGAGATCTGCACTACCCGCCTTCACTGAAAAGGAGCTGGGCAACAGCTTCTAGAACTTTCACACAAATATGGAATAAGTACTTTTTTTTCTAGAGCAGTGGTGTGCGGACCTTCAACGGAGCAACGTTATGTTTCGTCTGCATCACTCTCGTCTTGTCCCACTTTATTGACATCGACGAAGATTCACGAATATCTGAAGACGCGCAATGCATTTCGCTGCAAAAATGACTAAGATAAGCGGGCGCATAATCCACATTACGCTGGACCGGTTTGGCGACGAAGCCAGGACAGCGTTGGTCTGCGATAGCTTGCTTGACCGGTGAGCACGCCAACAATACGTAAGCGCACTAAAGTCCTTGCTGAGCTATCCTTTGTTTCACAGGTCGGAGTAACCATCAACTATTATTCAACTATGTTATTCTATATAGGGCGCTGACTAACATTGACGGTATCCAGCAGGTCTCCTTCCTTGAAACATCGTTGCCAACGCTTCTCATAAATGCAGTGTCGCAAGGGGCCTGATATCCCCCTAGGAACCCTTAGTTTGCCAGGCACAAGCTGTCCTGCCAAATTTGGCCAACATTTCCTGCATAGAATTGAAAAAACCGTCGGAGAAGTTCAATCGCGTAGCTTAACCTTAATATTGCTCATAATCAGGTCATAGTACTATTCGCAAAACGTGTTTCTTTTTTTTTTGCAAATATGAGATCTAGTTGTCTTGATCATGTTTATATTCAATTCAAGGCAAAAACCTTCAATGTCAATGTTTCGCGGCCCTGTGCGGTCCAAGCCAAACTGTGCGAAAAAAGAAATGAAGTGAGCGCGCAAGTATGAACAAGATGCACGTGCATCATTTCGCTCACTTCATTCTGCAGTGTTCGCGAGAGTAAAACGAAAAAAAAAGGGGGGGGGGGAGTGCTTAAAAAGTTTGAGCAGCAGTCGTGTAAACTTTCATTGACTATACAGTTTCTGGGCCAGTGGGAGGAATACTAAGCCCAGGGAATCAATGACTTTTATGGTCCACTGGGCTTGATCGAGCAGAGCTAGTAGGCTCTCCCGACGCCTGCTAACAAGTTAGGTCTCCAAATGCCTTGTACAAGATGCAGTCTCTAAAAAGAGAAAAAATAATGTTTCGGCGCTCGGATTCACATTCCCACGTAATGTGTGTGACAGTTGGCCGTTCCACACACAGCAGAAAGCTGTGTGCGTACATCATGGTATAAAGGCAAAAACCTACTTCGACCATCTGTTGAGGGGCTGCAGAGCTTTCTGCTGAAGTAAAACCTCAACTTTAACTGCCCATTAACTTCTTTTTTCTAACGTACACTTAACATTCTTGTTTTTGTTACTCTGTTAAATTTTTTGTAAATTGTCACCTATTCAACTGCTTGAGATACGTTCTGTTCCCGATTTCGTGTCGGAAGCATACAGGTAGTAGGTCATAAAGAATTTAACACTTGAACAAAGGTAATTTTTGCGACTTGTCGCTTGATACATTTCTACTGGATGCACGAAGACTTCATAGTGCGCTATTTGATGCATGTAGCTGATATAATCGAAGCAAATGTTATCAATCATGATGACCATCTGGGGACAGTGACATTACGACACTGCAACACCATGACCTGGCCATACAATAAAACTATAAAACAAATTATGACTTGGGAGAAGATTGGGAGTAGTTGGTTCATCCTGCACTGGCGCGTCTCACTTGGTTCGCTTAAGCTGCTATATCATTTAAAAAGAGGTTTCATTTCTTGGTGTTTCTCTCAAGTATTAAGTCAATGTAGTTTTGTGCTTTCTCGCTAGTGTCTTCTTGGCGTTTGCTTCTATGTGCATTTAGAGAAATGCTAGATGAGGGTACAGGCACACGCACGCATCGACACACACGCAGGCATAAACACATAGAAATTATACAAAGAAACAAACAAAGTAACAAAAGGGATTGCGAGAAAAAAAATTGGCCCCGTATCAGCATGTTTTATTGCAAATATTGTCGAAAGACGACTGTATTGCGTGTGGAGAGAGTGAACAAAACGTTTATTTGATGTTCTGTGCGAGAAATCAGGTGAATTGTATTTTGGAAGCGCTGCGTTGCAGAGTCTCGATCCGTGCAGCGAAGGCGAACGAGCGCATCGAGGCACGTTAGACAAGAGTGCCATCTGGCAGTTATCTTCGAAAACGAAGAAAGGCTTTAGCACCCGCGGAGAAAGATGCGCGCCTGTCTCGAAGACGATTAGGAGTAGAACGCAAAGCGACGGGCAGATGCCACCACCATGTCGTCTTAGGAAAGCGTTGGAAACATTTGCCTTTTTGAGCATGGCGTTGCATTGTCAGCGCAGCGTGATAAACGGTATGATCCTTAGAATTACTTGTGTGTGCCTTCTCTAGTATAAAGGCACACAAATAAAACATCGACGTGTTGTTATGATGCCTCAGATATAGGCAATAATTACTTTTTAATTGACGATTGCACAAGTACGAACGCTGAAACTTGAGCAATATTGGTGGGCACTGCGAACGGGGTCGGCCATTTAAAATATCGTTTGTTGTCTTTAGGGCAATCGTTACCGCAGACAAACAGACAAAAGTACAGACAGACGGACAGAAAGACAGGCAGACAGCAAGACCAAAATTTTGACGTTGAAGGTCGCCAAGGAAAATTATCGTCTTTAATAAGGCAACACATGGAGGTTTACTCAACTGCTACGCTACACGCATTGAACGCTATGACTGTGTTAAAAAAAGAAGAAGCAAGCGTTCAGATTGACCTTGCAAACGTACTAAAGGGCAATAAGTATGAATAAATAGTTGAGTGTACTCACAAATTACTCTTACAAAAATGAATAGCAGAAAGAAAACGGGAACTCAAAATTTTACCGTCACAGGAAGCTTGGCACAGGCCAGCAAACATGGATAAATAAAAGTCTTCGGTTGGCATCGTCCGATTGGCGTCTGATGATCGGCTCTCCGTGTCGTTGTGAAGTATACAGCATCTATGTCCTACAGTAGCTCGTTTATAAGGTGAAAAAAGACGGCAAAGCATTTTTGAGATACACAAGATCCAATGGTACATGATTCATGCTCCACGAAGTTGTTCTTACGCTACAGACTTAAGACAATCTTAATGTTGGGCACGACTGCGAAGGTAACCGACCGATAGCAACCATGCAATTGCAAAGAAAAAATTTTGCAAATATGGCGTCATCGCTCTGGAGTCGAGATGATTTAAATGAGGAAACTACATCAAAACCCATGAAGTCACGTTGATATACTGCGGGTAATATGTTAAGGAAATTCAGAGAAATAAAGCCTTGCCTCAACTTTGTGCAACAACGACTTTTTTTGGTGAGGTCAATGGATAATGCTTAAAAATTTTTTTTAGTGTAAGTTTGTATAGTTTTGTGCTCTGCCGCCCTTCTAACTATAAGGGTACACCATGCTGGTTTTTGTTGCATGTTTCCTAGTTAATTCATGCATAAAAACTTCAAAAGCCTGAACGCATGTTATGGTTAACAAATGTTTGTAAAAAATGTAATGTGTGCTGATATATTTTGTAAGTTGTTTCCTAACGAGCTGCATTGATATGTGGGCATCTGCCCTCTAAATAAATCCTTTTCTCTCTCTTTTGGCCCTGCACGAGTGCAATTCCTTCAATAAAAAGGTAAACGCTTGTCATGCATTAGAGGGGCGGCCTCTTGTAGGCTTTGGGTGCACGAAAATTGAGCCGGAAAGAAGACAGGAACTGAAAATGGCTGAATGACGGGCAAGTCACTTGTGCAGTAAAGGAAGAGTCAGGGAGGGTTACGTTAATTTCTGTACAGCAACATTTTTTATTCAGGGTGAAAAGTTATTACGACATAAATAATGCAACACTCTCGCAGTAAAGTGGGCACTGTAAACTTGATGCCCCATAAATCTTGAAATGTTTACATAGGCACATGGTACTAGTACTTCATGGGAAGCAAAAAAAATGAAGCAAAATGCTTACTGTTACTTGCATTTAGGTACAAGGCAATAGATGATTTTATAGGTCAGGTAAAATGGCTGGTGTTTTCTTAAACATATTTTCGATTCCTAACTTGAGGGTAGCTTTCTTAATACGTTATGTTGACATTGGCGATATGCGGGCATCTGCCCTCTAAATAAATCTTTTTTTTTCTCTCTTATAGTCCTGCACGAGCGCGATACATTGAAAGAAACACCTCTACTTAATTTACAACACATTCATGAAATTCAAAAAGACTAATGAATTTAACTTTCGCAACATTGCACAGAAAAAAAGTTGATTTACAAAAGCTGCATATTGTCAGCTGCACGGTTGTTTATAAGATGATGTTTAGAACGCTTATTTGATACACCACGCATGTAACTCCCTTAGTTGTAGACATCACCTTACAAAAATATATATTGCTGCTATGAAAAAGCACGGAATACAGAAGACTTAAATTATTCGCGTATCTGGATGATTGCCACAATGTCCACGTCGTTTCTATAAGCACTGTTGGAAGGTATTTGGTAATTTGGCTCGACCACCTAAGACCACGCACTCTGCAAGCAGTCTCTCTTTTTTTTTCCCCCTTCGTTCGCCTACCCGCGACGCACTTAATGTTCGCTTCAGTCTCGCACGAGGCTCACACGCATAGTCTCCACTCGCGGCGCCATTGTCTGCGTTAATGCCAGGCGCAGGCATTCCTCATAAGGCCTCGTAAGTTGTGAAGCCGCACTCGGATCCAGAGCACGAGGAGTCTGATAAGTCCACAGAACTAGCCGGCGTCGACACGGCTACAGAACCCGGGCAAGATGACAAGTTCCAGGGCGTAGAGGGCGACCCTAGACACGCTGAAGAGGGCGTGTGCTGTCTCGCGGGCGATGGAGATGAAGTCACGGACAGCGGAGGAGTGTAGTATCCTCGAGGTGTCGTAGGCCCATTCGCAGCCATCGGCGTCGCTGCCAACGTCGTCGACTCAGTAGCGGTGGCAGGTGGCGCCGGAATCGTTATTTGCGCGTCCTGAGCCAGCTCCGAGGAGTCTTTCTTTTCAGCCTTGGACTCGACCAGCTTGAGCGTTTCGGAAAGGGCCCAAATATAGTTGTGCGCGAACCGAAGTGTTTCGATCTTGGTTAGCTTGGTGTCGTCGGGAAAAGTGGGCAATACGCAGCGAAGGCGATCCAGGGCACTATTCAGATTGTGCATTCGATTTCTCTCGCGGTCGTTTGCCTTCAACCGCCGCGTCTTCTTCATCTTGACCTGCACTGGTGCCTTCAGCGTTGTTGAGGCGCTCGAAGTCCTTGATCGCGCTGAAGGTTTCGAGGCCCGCTTGCGTCTCGAGGAAACCGTTGACACTGTGGCTGTCGAGGACGAGTCGCCGGACTCTACGTCGTCGAAATCATCAGCGTCCATATATGACGAAGGGCACGGGCTCAACAGTTCCTGAGAGGAGGATGTTGGGGAGCGCTCATCTGGGAGCTCATCGTCCTCACTGAAACCTACCGAAGTGCCACTGCGGAAGGCTGCGTCATCTGGCGGCGATATGGGAAGCTCTGACTTGAGTGACAACATTGCCGGAGTCATTAGGGGGTCTAGTAAGAGGTAGCAGCTGTGCTGGATGGGACCACCAAGTTCTTCACGCGGTACTGAAGCCCAACACCGTCTCTCTTCAAGGCGGCGACATGTAAAACCTGCAATGACAGGAAAGATGGTAGTCATAAAACAAGCAGTCATCAAAAGACGTGTTCATTTTTGTTTTGTTTTGTTTTTACCAAAAAGCGCATGCTAAAAAAAGTAAGACATCTCCGACACCGTGATTGAGAGAAGTTTGTCTATATTTTGCTCGAGTTTTGTCGTTCCCCCTCCTTTCTTTAGTTTTCTCCATTGTACACAGTGCAGTATATTCGCATCGTCGTAGTAACAAGGAGCACCTAACAACAGTAGCTTCTTTTCGCTGCTTATAGCTTCGGCATTCAGCGATATACAGCTTCAGTACAGAAATTTGATTCCGTTGCTGAGAAAACGGCAGCACATGTGAAAAGCTGTGATCAGAAAAAAATTTCTGACTTTAACACTGTAGTTACAATGCTCAAATGGCTCTGTTATAAGTGTGTCAGCTTATTAAACCAGGGAGAATTAAGACAAGTTCACACAAAATTTTATACCAGCCACTAACATCATTATTTGCACTTTAATCACGAATGATCAGGAATTTCGCGCATTTATATTGAATAAGTTTTGAAAATAATGAATTTATTGAACACTACCACTCGGAGCAAGACATTCTTTTGTTACTGCCTAGACGCCTTACACCACTTCAAAAAGTTGCAAAATCAATGCTGCTTGAGCTAATACGTCTTCAAAGGTAGCAAAATAACGCATTGAATAGATGTAAGTTGAAAAGCAAATAAATTCACACCTTCGGGGAAGTCTGCGTTTCAGGAAACGGCTGCTAGGCAAATGGGCGCGAAGTTGTTAGCAAAAGATTATGCGTTGATTCCTTGATCACGCCAATTACGCAATCACTAAATGCCCCCATAAAAGGACTGCTTGCAAATGAAGTTACAATTGTGTTCGCAACAATTGCACTAGTTCTAACGTTCACCGGTGTTATGAACGTCGGTCAAAGAAAATGTTCATTTTAACCCAAATTCTCTTGTTTTTAGAAACAGACGACGCAGAAACACGCGATATATCAGCTTCAAACTTTGCTGTACTAAGCAGGAGAGAAAAATTTATCTCTAGACAGCAAAGCAAGAAACCTTATCAGTAAAGAAAAAAAAACATTCGCCTTCAACTTGCTTGATTCTGTCAAAGGCGTTTGATACTTTTCCAAACGCCGCACGAGCCTTCAAAGGTGTGTTTTCTATCTGTGCTCGTGCACCTCATGAAATTCTTTAGTGAAATTCGATATGCCCTTGGGCGTGAACTGAGCACCGTTCTGACCGAGCACTTGCATTTTGGACAGCGTAGCGGATCAGAGGGAGCAGTGTTATTCAGGCAACCATGGTTTAGAAAGCAAGTTCACGAGGAGGGAGTAACCAAGTGATGTATTCAGTATACTGAGGTGTCGTTTGAGCGACGCGTGGGTCTCCTGAACAGCGGTCAGCTTCTACAAACGAGACCGCAAACCGCCGCTAACAAACCTATTTCAGTGACCACACAGTAGCCACGGGCGCTCGACGACGCGTGAATGAGTTGTAAGCCCGTTCACAATGATTCGCACTGAAACCGTACATCTCAGGTTTCACGTTCTCGGCTTGTTCACGACGGCGTCCGGATGTCGTACACAGAAACCAACTTTTTTTTTCCTAATCACGCTCACTGTTCTTTGTCGTTAGCCCTTTCTATAGCAACTTGCGAGTAGTCCTTTCTTGAGGCCGCCTCGAAGTGTTCCTGCATACGTTCGCGTTGCCGAGCTTCATGCGGCTGGCAGCGTACTCGTTCCACTCTGCCTTGAATGAAAGAGTTAGGGTGACAAAGGAGGCAGCCTTATTGTGCGTATGTGTGCGGCTAGCGCAGGAAAAGGGGGTGTAAAGGTAGATTGGAACACACAGACAGCTTTGCTTGGTTTCCAGTGGAGCTTGACTGGTCCACCTTATATAGGTCTATACCCTGGCCCCCGCACTATTCAGTGCCTCAAAGCACGAAGGTAATTTATCTTCTGGTCAGTTGTCCTCACGTCAGGTCCACTTTGACCCGGACAGTCTTGGCTCATCGGGCCGAAAGAAAGGTCGATTGGGAGTGGAAGGTAGGCTCGGTGGGGAAGACTCCTTTCTCTGTTTTGTCTTCCTCCCCATGGGGCTCCCTTCCTCTCCATGGGAGTCTTATGTAGGCAGCGGAAGCTTTGTGCGCCTTAAAGTTCGACTGCGGTCACCAGAGGAAAGCATGCTCGGGTCTCCCTCTGCAGACACCCTGGCGACCTTTCCGCTGCGCGAAGATCATTGATCACAGCATGGCGCCGTGTGCCGCTCGCAGTCTACGGTAGACGACCTCTTCACCACTAGTGACGGTTGCCTTGGGGACTCTTTGATAAGGTTTAACCGACAGCATGCAGATATCGCTGTGCTTGACCAAAAATGAAAGAATCTGCGGTCAGTCGCCACTTGAGCAACACAATAGCCAACATATTCTGCGGACCCTGATATATACGAGCGTCACACATAGAAGATATGGCCACTCTTGAGAAGGGGCTATGTTTTGGATTCTTTAGCTTCTATTGAGAGGACTTCGCGCTGTCCCATTGACGTCTGGTTTCGCGTGGCGTTCTGAAGTGGGTGCAGTTCGTTTTGTTGCTGTAGGTCCGACATCCGATCGGGCCACTGCACGCTTAACTCGCTCGATGAGCGTCTGGTCTCGGGAAGAGCGGGCAGCAATGCAAGCAGATACCGCCTCAGCAACTCGTGTCTTTTAAATGCAAATCTCGGCTCACTTATATAGTATGAGAAGACATACACTGTCCTGAAGTATGATAACATATCACGGGGATCCACTGATACGGTATCCGCATTCTCAGTGAGTTCAATTTGCTTTAGGTGCCTTTTGAAGGTTGAATTTACATTCACTTCACGATTCATTTATTCTCAAAGTGATCAGTTATTATGAACTAGTGGAATGTTTTGCTGAATTCTAGAGCGCTGTAGAATATTTACCGTATGCGGTCGTTTCGGAAAGTTGAACAATTTCACTCTCGTTCAATACCGTGCAATGTGTACGGAGAGCAGTACACGGTGGTATGTGTGAACAAAGACCAAGAACACGCACAAAATTTATACAGTGACTCAAGTACGACACCAAACGTTCCCATTTTTTGTTGTTGGATATTTTTACGTTTTAATTCGTAGGCGTCCCAGCATAAATGCATGCACAACTACCGCGAGCCATCTGTGGTAGGTTTTGTTCTATTGAAGAAAAATTTTATACAATACAGCACCAGAAAAGGGATGCCGAAAAAACCTGCTTTTTCGGTTGGACACGCCTGATATTCTCTTTGGGCACCAAACACACAACTTCACGCTGTGCGTGGGACACACCATCTGCATAACGGTCAGTCACTCAGGAATTTTCCCAAACACGCCGAGCCCGTCCCAAGAATTGAGGACAGCGCCCGAGGTAAGTTCAGGGGCACGGTAATGGTACACCGCTCAAAAGAGAGCAAAACAGGGAGAAAAAGGTAGAAAACGGCACCCGTATAAACTGCGCATTCCAATGGGCGCTTCCCACCCCCGGTGGATCGCTTTAAGTTGTTTCCCTCCGCGTAGGAAAGAAGCAGCAAGCACGGCTGACGGCACACGAGCGACAAAATAAACGCGTCACTGTAGTATTTGCATTCTAGAAACCGCCGCGGCCTCCTTTCATTTTGCCAGCGAGCAGACCTAAGTGGCGCCATGGCGAAAGAGGGAACGCTGAACAAGCCTCTCCTTTGAGCCACAGGCGAGCGCTCCCGTGTTTCTCCCCCTCTTTGGGCCGGCTTTCTTTATTTACGTCTCGGAAGAGGGTGGCGTGCGTTGTTACCGGTCGCAGCTCGGTGGATGAAGGGCGTCACCCGCATTCTTAGATGCTCCGCTGCCTCCTTGTTGCCAATTCGCACTCGCAACTCACCGCAGGCGCCACCACCAGCTCCTGTCGTTCAGAGTGGGGTGACAGCGCTGCTGGCGCTACCTTCCCCAACGAGATACACGAACGTGTCCCATTTCTTCTTTATATCGTTCATCGTTTTTTTTTTCATTCTTATCAATGGTCATCTCCTTTTAGCGCTCTGCGTCGTTAACCGACCTTTTTAGCCCGACGAACAACTTTGCAATGTTTGAGAACTGCATGGGAGAGGGGAGCTGTTGTTCCCAACTACGCCAGCATCAGAAAGCCGGTCCTCCATATGAGCCTGATTCTCACATCTGTCATCCGCGCTATCCGGTCGTTGTCATTACAGCGGTGTTCGTCAGAAGAGATCGTTTGCCAGCCGGTTTCTCCTCAGAAACGGGATGCTGGTGGCGCTAAATGTACCGGATGACGTCACTCGTAGCCTTCTTCGAGAAAAAAGGAAATGCCAGGAAATACCTGAAGCTCACATGACCGAACTTTTTTTGCACGTCTTCTCTTGGTACCGGTAGTTTCCGGAGCCGAGTAATACCACTTACGATACTGTCCTTTTGCAAGACCTTTTCGTTGCGGACGGCACGTTTGAACCGTAAATCTGACTTGGATGTTTATAACCTTATAGATAATTATTTCAATAGATATGTATGTGGAAAATTTCTACTATTTACTTCGCATTCCCGCTGTGTCGGGAGCTGCCATATTCCCTGAGGTGTGTCACACCAGAAGCACTTCCTGAAATTACTAGCGTAACTATGAGTTACATTACCTTTCCGTTTATAATAATCCTTGATTTGGTATTAGTAAAGCTGGCGTCCAAACTATAGTTCATTAGACCAGAACAAAGAAGATAAAGTTCTTTTCTCAAAATTTTCTTCTAGTAAAACATACGTGGAATGAAAATCTACGCTATGCGCACGACTTGAAAAATGGCTCCCAACAGCAATTTGAAAGACTTTTTTTGCCTTCTGGGTGAA